ATTCGCGATGAGAAAAGGGTCGGCAACAACGCCGCGACAATCCAAGAACAAAAGAGACGGCCGAAAACTGACAAAGAGATAGTATCCCAAAAAAAAATTGAAAAGGAAATGAAGAGTGGGTTCATCAGAGAAAATAAGCGAATTAATGTTTTTTTATATATAGAAATATTGAGTGTATACAACTTGAAATATACGATGTGGGACTATGTCTATACTATTTCTACTATATATATATATATATATATATATATATATATATATATATATATATATATATATATAGACAACAAGCTCTTTGGTTTTCATGCTTTGAGCATTTAAGTGCCTTTATTTGTCTTAAAAACTTTGACTTCATGATTGACTTTGTCATTTTGATTTGTTCCTTACTTTTTGCATATTACTTTAGTCTTCTTTCACCATTTGAGACTTGTTGTAACATCTTCAAAGTTGTATTTGCATGTTAAACTTGCTTGTGCTTTATTACCGTAAAAAACTCAAAATATTTTCACTTTGACAACCTCTAGGATTCATCAGAAAATTCATACAAATAACATGAACATTTTACAATAATTTTAGTGACTAACAAGTTCCGCAGGAGTGGAGCTCTATTTCTCAATGTTGTTATGAAGCAAGGTCGATATGGGAACCGGAAGGACTGAGTAGAATTCGAAGGGGAGAGAGAAAAAAAGAGAAGGAAATTTGATTAATTCAGCATACTTCATTCACTTACCTTTAGACTATTTAAACATCATAGTATTTTCAGCACAAAATACAATAAGGGGGCGTTTGGTTGAAGAGAAATTTTTATGAATCATAGGGAAATGTGATTAGTAGAGAAATGGTTGGAAAATGAGTTTGATAGGAAAATGTAAAAATAGTTGTTTGGTTAGGAAAAATTTTACCGGGGAAATTAGGTAACTTTTGTAAAGTCTATGTTTGGCTTTTGGTTAAATATAGATGGGAAAAAAATGTGCATTTACCAAAATAACCTCGCTTTTGGTTATTCATTTACTTAGTTATTTTATTTTATTTTATTTTATTTTTTTATTATTAGAACCACCGCTCCAACAGCCACCGGCCACCAAGAACCCATCGATCCACATCACCTAACCAAACACATCCCTCCCACCCCATCTTCTCCAGCCTAGCCACCGATCCAGAAACCATCACTACCCCTTTTCTTCTCCATCTCAACCGAGCCACCGGTCCTCTTCCTTCCATAACTCACTGATCCAGTCCAAGAACCGGTAACCAACAGCCAACCACAAAACCCACAACACTCCAAAAGCCATCATTTCATTTTTTTTTAACACAGACACACAGCCAAGCTCCACCGTCAACCTCTCTTCATCACCATCCTTTTTTTTTTCCACCACACACCATCTTCATCTTCTCTTCATCGCCCCATAACCCAAACCGAGCCACCAACCCCAACCATTCAGCCCCCAAACCACCATCGAATCTCCTTCCTTCCCCAAATCACCATCACAAACCAACTCCCCATCTTCAACCTTTCCCAAATCGAACCACCGATCCACAGCCGAACCACCATAACCCCTTGTTCCAGCATCACGTCTATATGTAAAACCAAATATAGGGCACGCTCATCATTTGGGTATTAAACACTCTAACCAAATAGATAGCAAAAGCGCAATACCACATACCAAAAGGGTATCTTTCGCCGGCATTTTGCATAGAAATATATATGCAAATCAGTTTCATAGCATAATGCTTTACATAGTCAAAATTAGAAAATCCTTTAACTAAACGTAGTAACCTCAAAATCCCACTTCACATTTCGCCGGCTTTTTATTCAAAATCGTCCAACCAAACGCTCCATACTAACAATAAAGATATAATGAGTAATGTTTTAATGGGTCCCGTAATTCCATTTAGCCCGACACATAGTCTCGAAAATGACTGGGCTTCCTTCTTAGTCTCGGTATTGAAATCAACTTCAGCAGTGCTATTAGTTGAAAGTTGAAACGATGGGTTTCATTTTATTTGTACACTGTTGTGATGTGTGTCGTGTTGAAGAAGGTGCACCTCATTCGCTGCAATTTCCTCATTAAGCAAAAATTGATAGGCTTCAACTTTCAATATGTACAACCAAATAGTTGAGAATTATTATTTGATAATTCATCATTCCTCATAAGGAGTTACATTGTCACGGATTCACGGCTATGAATAACAAATCAAGGGACTGAGTTTGACTAATTATTTTGGATAGGGCCTATCAAACATGTCTAGCTCAAACTTTATGCCATTGTTAAGATTTGATTAGAGTTAATATAGGTTTGGAACTGAATTTGATTAATTATTTTGAATTGCACCTATCGAACATGTCTGGCACCAGTATATTCATTTATTCATCATTAAATTTTATAATATACGCATATGTATAATTTTAAATCATATTTCAAACATTAATATATTGTTACGACTTACAACTTATTAAATCATAAGTTTTATTAGTCACAATAAAAAACTTTTGAAAGTAGTTATTGACGAATTTTTACTAAATCGAATAATTACTAATATAACACATGAAATGTTTACGGTAATTAATTTTTTTAATAATTTTGTAAAAAATAATCTTTAGGAGATATACATACATGAATTCAAATTAAATATACCAAAATATTTTTTTTTCGAACAAAATGTTAAATGAAACCATATGTTAAAGTTAGAGTAGGCTGCTTTTTGATAGGTAGCTTTTGGACCGTACTCAAAGGATAAGGTAACCGGAAGAAGTTGAATCGAGATATCCTTTAGATTAAAAAAAAAAAAAAAAAAAAAAAACTACTTTCGACAAGTCGTGTTTCGGCCGACATATAAGAGGTAACGTAGGATTTGATTCCAGTAAGCTGAGTAACATATTTATCGAGATAAAGCATAAATTTAAACATTAAATTGAAAATTATATTGTTAAAAATTAACTTTATAATATAAATATTATTTATCATTTTAAAACATCATATTTTGATGTATATTTATTAGGATTTTTCATTTTTTTTCTCCTTCACAACGAAGGAGAAAGAATATAAAATATCAATTAAAACATAATTATTTTATTTAAAATGACATAAAATTATACTTTTTAAAAAAAATTGTCAAAACGAATTTTTCTTATATATATATATATATATATATATATATATATATATATGATTATAATTTTAACTATTAATTTGTAATTGATAATCATAATTTTACACTTTATTGGTTAAAATATATCCTTTACTAAATATTTTTTGTCTTCTTTTTATACAAATATGACAATCATTTTTCATTTTTATTTAATAAACACACTAAGTAAATAATCCAGCAGTAGACAGTAATACTATAAATATTTCTCAATATAATGGTGTTATTTTCTAATGACAACTGTGTGTGACTGTGTGGGACTGTGGGTCTGTCTTATCAGGAACGCTGTCGCCTCCTTAAAGTTCCAATCAAATGAATGCACATGCGGTCCGCCGTACACATTTATTTTGCCAGTACCTGCCCCTGTCAGTGTCACATATACCTATACGACGTCCAATGATTCAATATTATAAAAATAATAATAAATTAATAATAATCAAGCCAAAATATTAAAATTCAAATAAATAGTTAAAAATAAAAATAGTTAATTACATCATCTTTGAATTAAAATTAAAAAATTGATTCAATTTGAATTACATTAAAATTTCATATATAATAATAATAATATATCTAATTAAACTTTATATTATTTAATTTTTTTAAAAAATTATTACTTCTTGTTAATTTTAATTTTTTTACATTTAATGATACTAAATTATTAATTTATTATTAATTTATATTTTAATACTTTTTATTGTTTTTTTAAATTTTCTATTTACTTTATTTCAATAAATTAATTATCACTTATATTTGATGTATTTTGATCAAATTAATTTTATTTTTTTTATAATAATATATAAATTTATATATTAAAAAATGCAATAAAAAATAAAATTATATCAAATTCATTTTTTCAACCTTGGTGTCAATGGCATGCCTCTCTTCTCAGTCCCCCCTATTATTTAAATATAACTATTAAATTTTAATAACAATTTATAATTAAATTAATAGCTTGATGTTATAAGAGATATAATTATCTTCTACATATACATAAAAATATGTAGGGCTCATGTGAGATAATGTAAAGAAAAGAGAAAAAAAAAAGAATCTACATACTTTTATGTGTATTTATGTGAAAGGATTAAATATGAGATTCATAACCATACAAATATGGAAATAAATATAAAGTATTAAATATGGAAAATCATAACTATACTAAGATGAAAATAAATATAATTGTTGGATCAGTTAATCGATGTAACAGTGAAATTGATTGATAATAATATTGACATTAACACTAATTAATTGTTACATTACATTTTCCCTTATTATAATACGAATATTCATAAATCGAACATGATTATCTCTTATAAACGATACACATGGTCAATAAGGGGCACTTCGTAGAAGATTTTTTTGTAGAATTTTTGGAAAAGTGAGGATGGTAATCTTATTTATCCATATTCGGTACGAGATTTCTAATTTTTTTTCAAGAATCTGATTTTCTTAGAAGTTTATTTTGGGTGTAAAATTTGCTAAAAATAACATCCAAAAATATCACTCAGGAATGGTATTCTAAGATTCCCATAACAATAAAAAATTGAATATAACCAAACATAACATAAAAAAAATTAATTCAATATTTTTGTAAATATTTTGACCTACCAAATATTTTTTTAAAAAAATTCATTTTCTGTTTGTATTCCTAAAAATTATGATTTTCGAATAAAAAAAAATTCTCCTAAAAATACATAACAAACTCCATAACTATAGTGGTTGGTCGATATTCGGTGGAAGTTTAAAGAAGAAAAAGAGAGGATAAAGCAATCACAGCTGTAACCAAATCAAAATTTAGAAAAATCTTTGGTAATTTTCGTTTTGAATTTCAATCATTGAAATTTATCGAACTCTTAAATACAAAACATCCCTTCCTCTCTGTTCTGAGACTTTCTATGACTCAGACATAGCTGCGTAGTGGCTTCTGCAACTTCTGTTTCACCTCTCAATTGTCACCTGACTCCAAAACCCAACTTGTGAGTAACACCACATTTTTTTATCACGTATTCTTAATTCTTTATCGAGGAAATTCACATTCTTGTGCTTTGAAGAGAGTCTTTTGGAGTATTGTCGTCAAAGATAACAACTTTGTTGTTGTGTTGGGTGTTGGGATAAAGCGGATTTGGTTTTGGCATTTTTGTGTTGATATTGTGGCTTGGATTTGTTTTTTTGTTTTTGTTACTGTTCTGTGGTGGTGATCTTGGAAGTTTCTGATGCCAGTAAAGGTAGAGAACCATAGGGCCTTTTGGTCAAGTTCAACACTTAATTGGCGTTTTGGGTTGCTCACGGCTTTTGTTTTGGTTGGCATGGTTGTGGTTTGGAGTGTTGATGGCTGCACTGTTAGGAACATCATTGAAGCTTGGAGGTATCGTCAAGATTATTTTTCTCTAAGGTCTCATTCTCCTAATATTACTCATTACCATCAAAATTTAACTTTTATCTCCCCATATAGTCCTGTAGATTTGAATCAAAACCAAACCAATGCTACCCACTTTGATTCCAACTATCCTATGAACATCACACTGTCTGTGTACAGTGAAGCAGTTTATTCTAAGAACTCTAGTAGGGTATCTGAAAAGCTTGACAAAACCCCAATAAAGCCTGAAGTTCAGGGGCATTCAACTTGGCTTTCGAGTGAGTTAGAGCCCAGCTTTACTTCAAATCTTCTAGCTCGGTGGTTAGCTCCTGGAGGAGTTCCTTGTAAAGATTCTAAGACAGTGGGAATTTCAATTCCTGGGTTGGATGGTGGGAAAGTGATAGAGCTATCAGCTGGGGATGTACATGAATTTGATTTTCAAGCATTGGATGATTCAGGGAAACCTCGCTGTTTAGGTGGGGATTACTTTGAGACTGATCTTTCAGGGGAATCATGGAAATCTAGGCCTCTGGTGAAAGATTTCAGTAATGGTTCTTACTCCATTTCGCTTCAAGTTCATCCAGATTTTGATGGGGTTTACAATCTCACTATAATTCTTCTTTATAGACACTTTGAAGGTCTGAAATTCACTCCTTGGCGATTTGTCTATGATCGAGTTCTTTGCAATATTGCAATCAGATTCTACAAAAGCAGTGCCCAGCTACCAGAACTGCAGACTTGCAAAGCTTCTGATTTTGGCAAGGATGTGTGGTGTGGAAGGTGGACAAGGCATGGCAAGAATGATGATTGCCAAATAGGTAATGATGGTAGGTACAGATGCTTAGCACCAGATTTTCCTTGTAAAGCTCCATGGTGTGATGGTTCCTTGGGACTTCTAGAGAGTAATGGTTGGGTGTACTCAACCCACTGCTCATTCAAGATGTATTCAGCTGAGTCTGCTTGGAAGTGCTTGAAGAATCGGTGGATTTTCTTCTGGGGTGATTCAAATCATGTTGACACAATACGTAATATACTCAATTTTATTTTAGATTTGCCTGAAATACATTCTGTTCCCAGAAGATTTGATATGAACTTTTCTAATCCTAAAGACCCTTCTCAAACAGTTAGGATTACAAGTATTTTCAATGGGCATTGGAATGAAACAAAAAACTATCTAGGATTGGATTCTCTGAGAGATGAAGGGTTTCAAAATCTGTTAAAGAAATACTTCTCAAAAGGCACAATCCCAGACACTGTGATCATGAACTCCGGCTTGCACGATGGTGTTCGCTGCCGTAACATAAGAGCATTTTCTGTTGGAGCAGACTATGCAGCTTCATTCTGGGCAGGTGTTAAGATGACAGTGAGACAAAGGGGCTTAGCATGGCCAAGAGTCTTTTACCGAACCACAATTGCAACTGGTGGATATGCAAGGTCTCTAGCATTTAATCCTAACAAAATGGAGGTGTTCAACAGAGTGTTCATAGAGAAATTGAAGAAAACTGGCATTGTAACTGGCGTGATTGATAACTTTGATATGACATTTCCATGGCATTTTGATAACCGATGTAATGATGGAGTTCACTATGGAAGGGCTCCTGCAAAGATGAAGTGGCGAGATGGCCAAATTGGTCATCAGTATTTTGTGGATCTCATGTTAGCTCATGTTCTTCTCAATGCAATATGTGCAAGATAGCCAGGGAGTATCAGTTAGAAGAGAAGAGAAAATCGGAACAAAAAACTTGCCTCCAAAGTGGCACTTGATGGAAGTGTAGGCATACCCTATAGAATAATGCATACCATAGCATGTGCTTGGATAAAGACTATTGAGGTAGCCTCCACCATGTTGGGACTTACTTTTTCCATAAAATTAGTTTTAGTATTCTTTCTTGTTCATAGATTTGTAAGCACGAGTTATGTATACAAGAGTTCCACTTGTAGATTAGCAGGGGATTTATATTCCTCAAGACACATTATTCTATGGATGATCAATTTCAGAGTTTTATAGGATATGTTTTGTTTGCATATCTGTTCTTGGTTGAGTACTTGCGAGCTAACTAAGCAATAGATAAGCAATATGTATTAAGGCTTAAGGTTAGTTACTTAGGTTGAATAAGATAGCTTTTGCACCTTTTCTTGTTGACAGGAAATTATGTTAAAATAGAACCTAGCTAAGCTTTCCATCAATTTCTAATTTGCTTAAACAACCAACACAAAATGATGGGATTGAGAATTGATAACAAAAGTGAAACTTCAAATTCAAACTTGCATAGATTGTTTGGCTGTGACCCGTTTCCACTTTCTGGTAAGAATTCTTCTCCGGTTTGATTAGATTCTTGGTGGACACGTCCGGCAATAAGAGTCGACAACTCTTTACAAGTAATAATGGCAATTGGCACCAAACAACAAAAAATGATAAATGGAAATATTTTCTAGTTACCGTTATAAAACAATTTTTTTCTCTCCACTTAAATATTTATGGGTTTGATGTTTGTCATTTTAAATGTAAGTTATTTCATTGCAAGAAAGAGATAGACACAAAAAATAAAAATTATGGGAGAGAAAGTAGGTGATTTTTTTTAATGTAAATTTTAAATAAAAAAATTTTAATACCTTCTTGAAGGTTCCTTCGATTAGGGTTTGTGAGAGGGAGAGATTTTGGTAAAATCTGACTTCTAGAGTGAATATCTCTGTTAGTCACTGTGGAGAACCTTGTTCATCTCAACAAGGTGATTCTTTTGATCGGTGAATATTCTCGGTTGGTGTTCAAACGGTGGAGTGACGAATCTGCAAGGAGGACCGGTGAAGCTTGTGGTGGTTAGCTTGGAGGTCCAGTGACAGGAACAACGTTTCCTATACGGTCTTGTGAAGATTGGTGATATCTGCTCCATTTCTTGAGCTCTGAGTTTATTTTCTTTTTGTTCTTGTTGATTTGTTGCTTTATTAGTTTCTCCACATGTTTAGTTTCATATTGATGTATCTGTATGCCATAACTCTATACTTGTGATTCTGATCTTCTGAATAAAGTGTGATATCAGAGGGCGTTTAACCCTCTTTAGGCCCCAGGACGTAGGAAACTCACTAACACTGAGTTTCTGAACCTGTAAATACTGGTGTTCTGTCTCCTTATGCTTTCTTTACTGTTTCTTGGACTGTTCTGTCTTCTATTGTTTGCGAAAAGTATTCCCAAAATTACAACAAGTGGTATCAGGAGCTTAGGTTCCATTTCTCTTTCTGTCCTTTTCTTTTGTCTGTCATACATTTTCCCCCCTCTTCCATTTGGTTTGCTTGCTCGGCTGTGGAGGTTCGGCAAGATGGGCATCACTAAGCTGGAGGTGGAGAAATTTGATGGGAGAACTGATTTCAACATGTGGAAAATTAAAATGAAGGCTGTGTTGGTCCAGCAAAAATGTGAGGATGCTATTGGACCTGGAAAGGACCTGCCTGAAACCCTGACACCAAAAGAAAGGAAGGACCTTCTATCTTTAGCTCATAGTCTTATAGTTATCAATATCTCTGATAGTGTACTGCGTAGGGTTAGCAAGATCACTGACCCTCATGAGCTCTGGCTAAAGTTAGAGAGCCTGTATCAAACCAAGTCAGCCCCCAACAAAATGTTCTTGAAGGAAAGATTTTTCTCCTTCAAGATGGATCCTAGTAAGTGTCTAGAGGATAACCTTGATGAGTTTAATAGGTTAACTCTACAGCTGGAGAATGCAGGGGCTGTTGTCTCTGAAGAGGATCAAATTCTGATCCTCTTGAATTCTCTTCCTGACTCCTATAGAGGGGTTAAGGATGCTATAAAATATAGTAAGGGGAATATGACCATTGATGAGATTACTGAGGCCTTGAGGGCTAGAGAAGTTGAGATGATTTCTCACAAAAGGCCTACTGCTGAAGGCCTCTATGTTAAAGGAAAGGGGAATAAAAAGGGAAAGTCAAACAGTACGAAGAAGGGGAACAACAATTCTGTTCCCCAAGGTAATCAAAGTGTCCAGGGAAACCAAGATAAGAGTAAAAGCCAATCACAAGGCAAGCTTATGTGCTGGCATTGTCATAAAGAGGGCCACCTGAAAAGGAATTGCCCTGAAAATCCAAGGAGTGTCCCCAAACAGCAAGGTAAAACTGAGTATGCAAATGTACTCACTGACTTTAACAGTGTTGAAGCACTGGTTTTGTCTGATAAAACCTTTGAAGCTTAATGGGTGATGGATTCTGGGTGTACATACCATATGACACCCAGAAAAGAGTGGCTAAGTGGGCTGGAGTCTCAAAGGGGTGGCAAAGTCTTAATGGGGAATGACCAAGTGTGTGAAATAAAGGGTGTGGGGTCTGTTATGTTCAAGATGAGTGATGGGAGCTGTAAAATTCTAAAAGAAGTTAGATTTGTTCCTGCATTAAGGAGAAACTTGATCTCCTTAGGGATGCTTGACTCTAGTGGTCTTGAGTTTAGAAGTAAGCTAGGACTGCTTGATATTGTCAAGGGATCACAAGTCCTCATGAGAGGAAAACTTGTGAATGGCCTCTATATATTAGAAGGCCAAGCTGTCACACAAGAAGCCTGTGTGGCAGCTGCAAAAGATGATGAATCCATTCTCTGGCATAGGAGACTTGGACACATCAGCAACCAGGGGCTGTCTGAGTTGTATAAGCAAGGTATTATTAGCTCAAAAGGGGTAACTTGTGTGGAGTTTTGTGAAAACTGTATTTTGGGAAAAACTCACAAGCTCTTCTTTGCTGCAGCTAGCAATACCTCTAAGGCAGTGCTTGAATATGTCCATTCAGATCTGTGGGGATCTCCTAATATCCCCAGTTCTTTATCTGGATGTCACTATTTCATTTCAATAGTTGACTCATATTCCAGAAGGGTCTGGACCTACTTCCTAAAACATAAGGATAAAGCTTTTGTTAGTTTTAAGGATTGAAAAATCCTGGTTGAGAATAAAACTGGAAAAAGGGTTAAAGTTCTTAGGACTGATAATGGCTTAGAGTTTTGTAACAATCAGTTTGCTGATTTTTGCAAAGAGCATGGGATCCAAAGGCATAGGACCTGTGCTGAGACACCCCAGCAAAATGGGGTGGCTGAGAGGATGAATAGGACAATTTTAAATAAGGTAAGGTGCATGCTTGCTGAATCTGGTCTTGGCAAGGTATTTTGGGCAGAGGCTGTTGCTACAGCCACCTATGTTATAAATAGGTGCCCTTCCTCCACCATAGACTTTAAGACTCCAATGAAACTTTGGTCCAATAAGCCACCCAATCTAAATCACCTGAAGCCTTTTGGATGCCTTGCCTATATGCACATTAGGCAAGATAAATTGAGTCCTAGAGCCTTAAAGTCTGTCTTTATAGGGTATCCCCTTGGTGTAAAAGGTTACAAGCTCTGGCTTGTAGCTGAAAGGAAGTGTGTGGTCAGTAGGGATGTCATTTTCAAAGAAAATATTTTTTATAAGGACATAACAAGTGAGTCCAGTTCTTCCCAACCATCTGAAACTTTGCAGTTTCAGGTGGAGCTAGCTGACATACCTGTGCAGCATGCTGATAGGGAATAATTGATGGAACAGCCTGCTGTTCCTGGTCAGCCAGAGCTGGAAACTGGTCCCCTTGATGAAGGTGGACAGGTTGAAGAGGGAAATGGTGGTCTTGATGACTACTTGCTGTCACGAGACAGAGTTAGGAGGAATATTAGACCTCCAAGTAGGTTTGCACATGCTGACGTGGTTGCATATGCCTTACAAGTTGGGGATGTGCTTGAATTAGATGAACCTGCTACTTTTAAAGAGGCTATGAGGCTGGAATCCAAGGGTAGTTGGGTAAAAGCCATGGATGAGGAAATGGACTCTTTAAAGAGAAATAATACCTGGGTTTTGGTGGAGAGACCAAAGAAAAAGAGAGTAATTGGCTGTAAATGGATTTTTAAAAGAAAACCAGAAATACCAGGAGTGGAACCAGCTAGGTTCAAGGCTCGGGTAGTGGCTAAAGGCTACTCCCAGGTTGAAGGAATTGACTACAATGAGATTTTCTCACCTGTGGTCAAGCATGTATCAATAAGATTGATATTGTTTGCTGTTGCTATCTATGATTTAGAGCTGGAGCAGCTTGATGTCAAGACTGCCTTCCTCCATGGCAATATTGATGAGCAAATCTATATGGAACAGCCTGAAGGTTTTGTAAAGAGGGGGACAGAAAACATGGTTTGCCTGCTGAAGAGATCTTTATACGGTCTCAAACAGGCACCCAGACAATGGTATAAACGTTTTGATGATTTTGTTTTATCAAAAGGTTTTGTTAGAAGTAATTTTGATCACTGTGTCTATTTTAAAAATTTACATGATGATTGTTACATTTATTTGTTGATATATGTAGATGATATGTTGATTGCATCTAAAAAATTAAGTGAAATAAATTCTGTTAAGAATATGCTGAAAAAGGAATTTGAAATGAAATTCCTTGGACCAGCCAAGAGGATTCTTGGCATGGAAATTACAAGGACAAGGGAAGATAGACATCTATCTCTATCCCAGTCTGAGTATGTGAAAAAGGTTCTAAGAATCTTTGAGATGCATCAGTCTAAGCCTGTTAGCACTCCATTAGGTGCTCATTTTAGGCTGAAAGCTGTTTCAGGAGAATTATCTCCTGAAGAGTCTCAGTATATGTCATCTGTTCCCTATTCTAATGTTGTTGGCTGTTTAATGTATGCTATGATTGGCACAAGGCCAGATATAGCATATGGAGTCAGCATGATAAGCAGGTTTATGAGTAAACCTTGCAAAAAGCACTGGAGTGCAGTTAAATGGTTACTTAGATACTTAAATGGATCTATTAATTGCTGTTTAAATTTCTCTGCACTTGATTCTAATGATTTTAATATTATTGGATATTGTGATTCTGATTATGCTGCTGACCTTGATAAACGTAGATCACTAACTGGTTTTGTGTTTACTGTGGGAGGTAATGTGGTGAGCTGGAAATGCAATCTCTAGCACATAATT